GAAACACTGCGGTCTTTCCAACCTTTTTTAGGGATCGACGATTCCTCTGAAGATGCGTTTTTAGGTGATAAAACTCTAGATGGATATCAGAAGAAGAAATACGTTTGCAAATTGTTGTTCATATTTCTTCTGGGAAATGATATTGATTTTGGACACATGGAAGCAGTTAATCTTCTTTCATCCAACAAGTATACAGAAAAACAAATTGTGAGTTCCTTAGTGTTCTGTTTGTTATCGGCATCCTCATTTACTCCATGTAGCATTTCTAATACATTCGGTATGAAAGATGAAGGCGTGAAAGGTAAATTAAACAGGAGGCTGACAAACTGGGGAAAGGCATTTAGAAGACTCCCTGTGCAGAAGAAATCGAGAGGGGGATAAAGCTGTTTTGTCATTATTTGCTTGTTTCTGTGGGTATCTTTTGAATTATTTAGTATACGTCTCTTCGGCTTTACACATACTCGAATGTTGAATACAGGGGTATACTAATGTTCCATCATATGGGTTCACTAACAAGGAAAGTTATCAGGTCGTGGCGCGCTTTTTAGAAATGGTTTGGTGCATGTTGTAGTGATCCATATGAGGATCACAAAAATGGGTTTCGTTTTTGCTATGCATTTCCTACGGGAGATCCAGAGCCATGTTGGCGCCAAGTGGCCTCGGCGCCAGTTATGAAGGTCAGAACCGTGACAATAACCATTGCTAACCCCTATATACAGAGTTTCAGCAAAAATTTTTTTTCAAATTTTTCTCCTCGTGCTGTTCAAGTTATGGTGATAGGTCTTGTTGAACTGGTGGCTATCAGTATCCTGTAGAAGTCGTTATCCAACTTCGATACCTGGACCTTTCTATTTACTAGTATATACTCATAATTAACAACTACAAATTTTAAAAGGACAGATATATATGTATTGCACAATATCTACACCTGAAGAGTAAAGTGGAACCAGTTCCGCTGCGTGCGCTGATCGGGTGCCACTACCAACCAAGTGGTCGGTCCATTATCACCAAAACTCAAAAAAATTTTCTGCTGAAAGTTCCTATAGAGGGGTAACTGATGGCCCCATTCACGATTCTGACACTTCTTTCAAGCGCCGAGGCCACTTCATGCCAGCATGGCGCTAAACAGCCCATGCGTGCGGGTTGTCAGCGATTTCAGTGCAAGAAAGCTCCTGCAACAATTCGGCGACAAGTTGCGCCGTGGCGCCAACCATGGATGCTAGCTGCTCGGTGAGTGAGTACGAGGTATCCGAGGTAATCGTAGCTCACTTTTCCTTTCCTGTAATAGCGTGTTTTGAGGCGACACATGTTCTAAAGGAAGAACCCGCGACTAGTTCCCAATCTCAGAATGTGGGTGATTAGGATCTTCCATGATAGACGGCACGGGGTGGTTGGAGTAACTATCTCGTGAGCACAAAAAGCACAAAAAAAACATGCCATGCCCGCCCTAGCATAGAACCCGTGAGATTTCGATGCGCCAGTTCGTACGTGTTCCCGAATCAACTGCCTATCTCTAAAACTGTATCGCCCTCATCATGCACGTCGCTTGACACGATAAGATGTTCCTACGATCGTACACATCCAGTGCGATGGTCATCATGCGTTTTTTCGCAGACGAGTCTGCAATTTTTCACTGCCGAAGTCGTCATTAGGGCGTGGAGCTGCGAGGCGACGAGTCACTGGAAAACCAACGGATGGAGCCAACCTGAAACCTATATTGCGCTACAGCGCCGCTTCATAGCATTTTTTGTCGCGGAACCGGCAAGTTGTTCGCCGCGGACCACTCTAACCTCCTGAGGCCATGTTTTCAACTTCGATACCTGATCGCGGACCGTGCCTTCAACTTTTCCTTTCCTTAATAGTGTTTTGAGAGCGCAATAGTTAAATAGGGTCGACTCGTGAACTATGAGTGTACAGAATGAGGTCTTAAATGGCATATATCCATGTTATATACATCATCACGCACGCAGGAACACAAGGAGACGGAAATCCGAAAAATGCAGAAATTGGTCCCCAACCGGACCCGATCCACAAACTACCCCGCCGTTCGAGAGCCCATCGCACTATCCACTCCACCATCCGTCTTCTTTTTGCCTTTATTTTGCTCTCTTTTTGATGTTAAGGAACATCTCATAAACTATACATACTCAATGTTACAGTTAGAACAGAGCCCAGTAAGTTAAAGTTAGTCAGTTAAAATCGCCCTTTCTTGTCAAATTTTTCAACTCATTTTTTGGCATTCCCATAAATGCATAGCAAAAACGAAACCCATTTTTGTGATCCTTATATGGACCCCTACAACATGCAACAAACCATTTCTGAAAAGCGCGCCACGACCTGAATGACCTCCCTTGCTTGTAAGGGCAGTTTGTCGTCTGTAAGAGACTTATAAGTACAAAAATACGTCTTCTTCACCTCACTCTGATGGAGAACTCTCTATTCATCGCAGTCATTTTATTAAACTTAGTTAAACATGGTAAATGTCCATGTTGTTAAGTGAAGAGACCGGTTTTAAAGAATTGCATAGCTTACCTCATGCGTGCATATTATAAATACTCATGTGAAATAACTCATGAATGTCATTTTAGGGATATTTGTTCATCTCAGTGCTGATTGAGCAGAATTCGGATCTAATGAAGTTGATCGTACAAGCGATTCGTAACGATCTGACTTCTCGCAATCCCATCCATGTCAATCTCGCTCTGCAGTGCATCTCAAATATCGGTAGTCGCGATATGGCTGAAGCGTTCTCAAACGATCTTCCAAAATTACTTGTTTCCGGGTAGGTTTAAATTTCAGCACAAATGATCCTTCCGTTCTCTTGTTTCTTTTATATTTTCCGGGGATTACTCCTTTCCTCCACTTTATCCATTGGAATTGTTTCTTTCTTTTATAACGTTTGGTGATGCTTTCGCAGAGACAGACTGCGTTTTAAAATGTTTTTCGCATTTACCTCAAGCGAGTTCATGCTT